TGTAACTATTCGATTGGAATTCCAATGGAGTTTTAATCACTGAAACCTCACGGGTATGGATACTATACGGGTGAAATACCAGTGAGATTGATTATTTTTTGAAATCACCAAAATGAACAACATTTCACAATAAATGTAACTGAATCGATGCTGATGAGATTTGGTCCATACCATTGGAATTAACCTTGGAAAAGACTTATTAAAAAAATCAAAATTTGCCAGAAGTCATTATTATACGCGGACGAAGTCGCGAGGAACAGCTAGTTTAAAAAATAATGACCTACTTTTAAACTGACTTCCCTAAAAGGAGGAGGTTATCAATTCGGTTGTATGTTTTTTGTGTGCTTTTTACCCGATTACTCGGCGTTTGTGGACAGATTATGATGATCCTTTTTTTGTTAGTAAGGTCATAATCTCAGGTTGGTCTTATTTCTACCAGGTCAGGATTTGATGATGGAATCCCATGGAAATCGAGGGGAACATTTCAAACACTTTTTGTGGGTCTGGGTGTCATGTGTATGTGTAATTGTATGTTTGTAAACGCACCCACGAAACGGTAAAAAGTCCTAGTGTGGAGCAACGTTGTGTATAAAAAGAGTTGTAATAATAAAACTATTTTATTATGATTTGTTTTTCAATTCTTTATTTTTACAATTTATTCATTTTTAATAGCTTACATAAGTCACAAATATCTATAGAAACTAAACTAAAAATAAAATGAAAAAATAAAAAGAGACCTTCAAATAAATTAAAACAAACTCCTAATCCTCCTCCTAAAAATGTGTAAATACAAAAACAAATTCCCAAAATTTACAATTTTCATTGACAATGTTATCGAAACCCTTCCTAAAAATTACTTCTACTCTCTACTGGATTTCTTGTTGCTATTTGGCTTTTAATTAATATGGGTGCAACAGGTCTGGTCCAGTCAACAGCCTCACTTACTGTGGGAAATCCTGCAATTGCATAAAATCCGTTTGCAATGACCACAAATTCTTCAGAAGTTAGCATATTAATGAATAAATATTTCATGCTCGCAATTTTGGCCGTTACCTTGTGCACAACCCGGTGAAAAGTTGGTTGTTTTACATGAAAAATGTTTCCTGTTACGCTCCGTTGGTAACTGCTTGTCGCCTAAAATCTTTAGTTATCAGGATTTGGTCTATTGGCTGCAGCGCTCGGTTTCACATGTGAAA